CTTTTGCATTGCAACAGACATTATTTTTTATGTCTGAATTAATTAGTATGGTGCCGTCTGGTCAGTTGATCCTATAAGCAAACAGGGTTCGTGTCAACTACGACTTTTTGTGTGTATTGTATTTGTATATATCGGTATTTATGTAAATATATATGAGTACGTCTCTTTAAAAATGTTTTTTTCTCAAGTTATTCAGGTTTTGAAAATTGAATCCAGAGCATTGATAATCGATCAGTCAAAACAGTTAATCAATTATCAAAATAGGCGGAGATGAAGTGATTGGGTGATCAGCGCACGGTTAAACTGCACACGCAGGGATGCAACTAATGATTATTTTTACGATAATTTGGTTTACAATGCATCAGAAAAAAATATTGAAAAATGGCCATCACAGTTTCCACAAATCCGAGGTTACATCCTCAGAGAGCCTGTTTTTGTACGAGTAACAGTTTAAAACTTAAAGATATTCAGTGTATTTTCATGTAAGACAGGAAAGAAGCTGGAATCAGCAAAATGTAAGTTGTTTTTTTTTTTGGCTTGAAAAAACGACTTAATCAGACATTTTATTGGAACATGGCTGAGTCTTGACATACATTCATTACAGATGAGGTGAGATGTTTCACAGAGATATTGATTAAAATTAGCTCCTAATGAAACCAATCTGCAGCCTGAAATTATTCCCATTGATCACAACTTGTCCAGGTCTGTGGAAACACTTGTGTGTTATGACTCAGATTTACTGTATGTCATGTCAGTTTCTGCTGTTGCTCACTGTACTTTATGTAATGCTCAGAAGTATTGTGCACCATGTGGTCATTTGTCAGTGGAGTGACTGATGATATTGTTGGTCTGATATTTGGCTGATAAAGTGTCCTCTGTGTTTGTGGTCACGGCATGAATGGACTCTTGTCATGGTTCAACCACACTGGACAGGAAAACAGACAGAAGTCACATATTTGTAGGAGGAGTGTGAGTGTGAGTGTGTGTGTGTGTGTGTGTGTGTGTGTGTGTGTGTGTGTGTGTTCACACGTGTGTGTTCACTGTATGTGTTAAAGCCATTGAAGTTAGATTAGCTGTTTCTGAGGAGATTAAAGCCCCAAACACAGAGGGGCTGTTAAAACCCTCCTATAGTCCCTAATCCGAGCTAATGGACGCACCCCCTCAACCCACCACACACACACATACACATGGAGGAAGAGAAGGGTTGAAGGAGGGAGACAATGTAGGAAGAAGAGCTGAGAGGCAGACAAGAAGAGGAAGAGGAAGAGGGGGAAAATAGAGTAAGGGGCATTCCTCTCATTTCTCAACACAAAGGCCTCATTCTGCTGAGGAGAAATGGAAAAACAAGAGAAATAAAGGCCAAAAGAGAGGAAGGATGGATCAGAGGGGAGGGAGCGGGGGCGTGAGAGAGATGGATGAAGATGGATAAGAAAGTGCCCAACAAGAAATACAGAGGAAGCGAGCAGCAGAGATGGAGAGAGAGGAACCGAGAACGAGCAAAAGTCAGACTAATCTCATTTTCTGGGCCCAGATCTCCTTCTGACCCACTGTCCTGCAGCTCAAACCTTTTAGTCTGGCTCTAAACTGCATCCCCAACCTTTCTCTCGGGACTTTTATTGACTTTATAGACCTGCCAGGACAAGAGAGATTCATGTTGTCCTTTCAGTCCACACACTATCGCACAAATCTAGATGCCACCAGAAGGTCAGACAGTCAGTCTGGCTGCTTACAAGGTACATTGATACTGAAAGCAACAGTCTGACTCTCAGCTGAAGTTTGATTTACAGAACAAAAATGGAGGCTGAGAAGATGTCTTAACTTTAAGTCACTATTATCGGGGCTGAAAAATCTTTCTCAGACAGGTGTGTTTGAGCCAGTTTGCAGAACCAAGTAACATTCAATTAGCTAACTACATTATTTTGTGGGATTACAGGTCACTTAGAAAAAGCTCTCTTCAGGACCAAGATATCCACTGTGTCTGTGTGGGAGCTTTACCCTAATGCTCCTATACCACATATTTTACTTATAAGCCCTTGAAACATCACGGCTCGACAGAGGAAGTGAATGTTCATACATGCCTGTAATAACAGCAGGACAGAGAGGACTGAACACTGTAGAAGTTTTAAGATTTAAGAGATTACAGCTAGAAAGTTGTGTTTTATGGCTGTGGATGAAATCAAGTTGGAAGTTGCAGCAGGTCAAACAAAGTAGCCCAGACGTCCCTCTCTCCAGTAACGTTTTCTAGCTCCTTCTGGGGGATCTCAAGGAGTTCCCAGGCCTGATGAGATATATAATCTCTCCAGCATGTTCTGGGTTTACCTGAGGGTCTCCTATCAGTTAGACCTCCAGGAGGCATCCTAACCTCCTAACCAGGCATCTTAACCAGATGCCCAAACCACCTCAACTTGCTCCTTTTGACGCGAAGGAGCAGTGGCTCTACTACCAGCTTCCTCCAAATGTTAGAGCTCCTCACCGTATCTCTATGGGTGAACCCAGACTTCCTGCGGAGGAAACTCATTTCAGCTGCTTCTATCGGCATTCTCGTTTTTTCGGTCGCTACCCAGAGCTCGTGACCAAAGGTGAGGGACGGAACGAAGATCCGTAATCGTTGTTTAATGTCGTTGAACGTTATTAACATCTCAAAGGTTTCGATTTCTTTCATCTACTGCTGTAGTGGAGCTGAGAACATTGAGTTACAGAAGCTAGTACAACAGAGGTTAGCCCGGACGTGTACTTCATTTCAGCTTCTCCTTTGGGGCAAACACTTCAGTAACTCTAGACAAAGTCATTGTTTAGACGTCACCCTCAAAAAGTGACACATACGGTTTCAAATTATGGACCACAAAACAGTCCAGAGGTTTGGATTTTTTTGCCTATACGAAGCTGTAGCATCGAAATAGGGTTATGAGAGAGACATAACAGTCTGAGCTTCTATTCTTCTTTACCATACTTACAAGACTACGGCTGATGCCCTACATAGTTTGAGTCTTTCAGTCTTTCAGCACAATATCATGGGTGTAGCCCTAAGTACGTATTTATTCATATTTAGTATAATTTCCCAGGAAAATGGCACCTTAAACCAACCCAGACATAACATCAGCTTAATTAGCTAGCTTTTGTCTACCTCTGTGTAAAATCCCATTATTAAAAAAAATGAAGTAGTAAATCTACCATCGTTGTAAAATGCTTATGTCCTCCAGTTCATCATTTTGGAGGATGTAAAGAACCAAGCAGCGTTAATATAAAATCCCACCAGATGGTTTCAGTCGACTTGACAACTGAAAGAAGGAGACTGAAAGAAATTTGGCTAAAAGATCCTCCTACAGCAGTCGAGCCTAACTTTGCCTCCTCCTCTTCTGCCTCCTCCTCTACCTCTCTCATCCTATTCCCAGCCCAGGCTTTCTTTTCATCTCCCTCCCTCTCTCTCTCTCGCCGTCCTCTCATTCCCTTCTCCTTTTAGATTCCTTCTGTTCTGGGCTAAATCTTTCCTCCTCCCCTCTGATTAACCTTGCCAATTTTTCAGTCTGTCTATCACTCACTAATATTACTTCCCCTGCTTATCAAGTTTCCCTCTTTTGGTCCTCCTGCTTCTCCCCTCCTTTCTTTCTCCTCCTCCTCCTCTCAAGTTTGGGCCTACTTTGAAGCAATCCACTGCCAAAGCAATCAGGGTGAGAAAATCCCACAATGCAAACGACAGGAAGGGAGACGGAGATGTTTGTGTTGCTTAAACGATGTTGCCACGAGTGAAAAGAGGAATTCCAGAGTAAACAGACAAACAGAAACCTGGTGAAAAGTATCAAAGGGACAGATACACCAAGGAGTAAAAGACACAAAGTGAAATGAATCCTCTTTGTAGACTCGTCTGCCTTTATGAGACACACTAAGAGCTGCAGTGAGTGACTAATTAATTTATTAGTCGATCGACAGAAACTGATCGTTTTAGTCATCTTTTAAGCAAAAATGCCAAACATTTAGTGATTCTAGCTTCTTAAATGTGAAATTGTTATGCTTTTCAATGTCATACATGACTGTAAACTGAATCTTAGGATTTTGGACCATTGGTCAGACAAGATAAAGTCATTTGAGGACATCACTTTGGGATGGGGGAAATTATAAAGAGCATTTTTCACTCAGTTTTTGACATTTTATGGACTATCAGGACTAAATGAGATAAAAAATCTGCAGGTTAAATCAATTGCAGCCTTACTTTAAATCATTAGAGCTGACAGGTGAGGAAGTCCAAGTCTATCCCTAACATGCCGCCCACAAAACAACATAAATCTACAGTGCTCTCTACAAAATCAGGTGGATGAGGAGACAGTGGAGGTCAGTATGAGTCAATCAAGATAATCAGGATGCACAGAGTACTTTTATCTGCAGATATGAAGATGAAAAAGAGCTAAATCATACCTGACAGAAGCGTGTCTGAGTGTTTTGGCACGAAAGGAAGCAAACTACAAACCAGTAATGAATAATTTACCACTATAATGTTGTATAGTGCATCATTTCATTCAATATTAATAAAAACGCACTGCTGCAGATGACATATCAGATATTAAACAGCTGAATCAAGTCAATCAGACACTCCCTGAAGACTGGTTCACCCACACAGAGCCGGCTTGTCTGCACATGGGAAAGCCATGAATGGTCATTTCATGTTTTATATACTTTTAAGTCAAAAGGTTCAGACAGTGAAAGCAGACAGAAGGGGAAGTGTGCACATACACCCACACACACACAGATGCATGTATGTGCAGTGATTCACGCATTTATATCCCAACGCACACCCAGATTAGCCAGCACAGTTGTTCATACCTGCCATCGTATTATGTAAGACATCATCACACCCCCCCTCCACATCTACTGTACAGCCCACTGACACACACACACGCACACACACACACACACACACACAGATTCAAACGCACACACACACACCCACATTCATGCATGGAGACCCAGACACAAGCAGCATGGAGATGCTATTGTTTTCCTCTTACCTCTGCAGGTGTTGCTTCTCTCCGTCTGTCTCTGTCTTTTCTTTTCTGTGTCGTCTTTTCTCTCCTTGTCACACTCTTGTCTTTCTTCCTCTTTTTCTCTTTAGTACTATTTTCTTCCTTCCTCTCCACTGAGTCGTGCCTTTTCTCGATTCTTTTTTGCACTGATGCTGCAGTGGTACATAAAACACACCCTTCTGAGCTCTGCCTGTCCTCCCTCCCTCCTTTCCCTCCCTGCTGCTCTCTTATTGGCTGCATCATAGAGATGACATCAGCCTCTTTCATTGCAGCCTCTCTCGCTCTCTCTCTCCCTCTCTCTGTATTCCCCTGATACCTCCTGCCCCTCCCTTCTTCTTTACCTCCATGCTACACCCCTCCTCCTCTATTTTTACCTCTCTCCATCCCTCTCTGTTCTGGTTTTCTTGTCATACTGGTGGCCAGCTGAGTGAATTGTAAGAACGTCAGTGAATAAAATCTGGATTAAACTGAACTGTAAAGATGATACAGGTTATTTTGAATAAATAATGAACACACAATTGGATTATTGGAAAGAATTCAGGGATGAATTGGAGAATTACTCAGACTCCTTCATCATGATCAGATTTACAAGATTTTCTTGATATGATTTTCTTGCTGAACCAATTCATGCATGCAATGCTGTAATGATTATGGTGTGACCAATAAACTGCAATATTAATCATATTTTTGTGCAAAAGACCTACAACGCCCTTGCAACGATGTAAATCCCATCTTGACAGCGTCATCATGATGACAGCAAAAAAATATGACAGTGTGCAAAAGATCAATCGTCACAATGAAACCTATTATCTCAAAACTGGATAACATAAAAGTATTTCACACCTTCATCTTCTCAAAACCGGACCACTGTAACTCCCTCCTCTCTGGCGTAAACCAAAAGTCACTAGTTGAAAATACAGCAGCTTGGCTTCTCACACCAATCCTCACTTCCCTTCATTGGCTCCCTCGCTGTTTTAGAACTGATTTTAAGATTTTACCGATCACTTTTAAACCACACTGTGGCCGAGCCTCGAGCTACGTTACAGAATGATTAACCCCATACAAGCCAGTGCGCAGCCTTAGATCTTGGGCAGGGCCCCTCTAGCCGTTCCAGAGTCGAGGCTTAAATCTAAAAGGTGCCCGCTCTTTCAGTTTTTTGAGGGAGAGGGAACACTGGACTGAGATTCATCAGATGACACAAACACCACAACACAGAATCATCATGTTGCTGAATGTGTGAAGAAGCAGCTCTTCGCTAAGAAGTTCAACATTAATTAAACTATAAACATTAATTCACTATAAAACAGCGGCTCATTTTCTTGACAAAATGCTGTTGAATGTATTAACTATAATGTAAACTATAAAGCTCTGGATTAAAACTAAATCATCCCAAAAAAAAAAAAAACCTGGTGAACTTTGACAGACTGAAAAGTAACTTCAGATCAGCTCAGTCACAGCACTCAAGCAGCAGCATTAATAAACCACGTCTTCTTTACATCAATCTCCTTCATCCTGTCAGTCTGTCCGGATGCTTTTCCCGCTCAGCTCCTCCTCCTCCTCCTTCTTCTTCCCCATCACTAAAATGGAAATTCTGTTCTCTCGTACCAAAGGCCAGTGACACTCATGTGGCATTTTGTTATCTGCCAAATGGAGCAGGCATCCAAAACACCCCCGCTCTTCCTCGCTCTATAAATCTGTGTGTGTGTCTGTGTGTGTGTATGTGTGTGTGGAAGAGAGAGAGAGAGAGAGAGAGAGAGAGAGAAAGAAAAATGTGTGAGAGAGGACAGATGGACAGGAAGAGTGTCTGTGTTTTAGGGGTTTTCTTTGGCAGCACTTTAACAGTGACCAGTTTGTGTGTGTGTGTGTGTGTGAGAGAGAGGGAGGGAGAGAGAGAGAGAGAGAGAGAGAGAGAGAGAGAGAGAATACTGCCATGCTGTTTTCATCTCGCTGTCCCTCCTCCTTTATCAAAATAACACAAACCAGCAGTTAACTAACGGTAAATCTGCTCTGTGACTGTCACACAGATGTTTGGAGCAAAGGTCTTCATGGTTCCATGATGCTGGACCTGATCCCAAAAGGACCTGAACCCCAATATGCATAAATTATTTTTCCAGAACAGACACCTAAAGATGATTAAACTGGCCCCAAAGTCAAAATCGACAAAGACAGCAGCATGATGCGCTAAAAATTCACAAGCAGCCGTGGTCGATAAGAGCAGCAAGGTAATAAAAGTAACATCCTAAGAACACAAATAAAGTCACAAAAATGATTTTATTTCTATTCTTCAAAGACTAATATAATAGAAATAATTACAAGTCCTATTTTCACCTCCTGCACCAAAAATAAAACATTCTGCAGCCACCTCGGTGATGGATTGACAGAAGATAATCGTTTACCTAACAAATGTAACGTCTGTGAGTAAAATACCAAACAATAATTGTCATTCAACACAATAAATATTTTACAGAAGCCACTGATTTCCTAAAATATGCTTTGTGGAAATGATGTACCACGTGGTCAGAGCTAATACTGACTGCTCCTGAATCAACTCAGGTATTAGACACATGGACACACAGACCAGCAGCAAAACGAGACTCTACCTGACCAGATTAATCTGGACAGTTTAGTGAACCATCGCACCACTGTATCACTACGCACAAGTGCAACAATGGTGTGCACTGTACTCCGCGGGTCAGCTGATTGAGTCAGGTAGAGCTAAGTGCAGGTGTGTGTGTGTGTGTGTGTGTGTGTGTGTGTGTGTGTAGTAATACAGTCGTTCCAAAGGAAAGAGCTATTTGACGAAAAGATAAAGTGGTGAAAATATTCAAAATAAAGCATACACTTAAACTGATATTGTTTTGTTTTCCATGGGCATTTTTTAAAGTGTTTAAAACAAGCTTTTGCCGATGGCTCCACCCACAGCAGCACATCACTCAGCTTCTGCGCTGCTGCTTCTGGCTGCTTCTCTAAACTATCAGCGAGCTGATCTGAATCTACTGACTGTAGAGAAGTACCTCACACTACCCCACATCAAATAACCTAAACTATCAGTCTAACTCACTGTTTTCGGATGGCCAAAACATAACATCTACACTCAACTGAGCTTATTGAACTAAACTGAAGCAGCTAATAACCTCTCCACTAGACCAGGGGTCGGCAACCTTTACTATTAAAAGAGCCATTTTTGGCCCCTCTCCCACAAATATAAATCTGAAGCCGCAAAACCTATTCGACCCTTAAAATGAAGATAACACAGCGTTAAAGTTTTATATATACTTATACTATATACCTATATAGGAGGCGGTAGGCTGTAAACGTTGCTATGTAGATGTTGTAAGATGTGACGTATATTTTAGTCAACGAAATTTTATCAGCATCACCTCGAACTCCAAAATATGAGGTGTTCTCTTTAAAAGAAAAAAGAAAAAGAAAATAAAAAAATAGCCGTCATTCAGTTTGTACTGCAGAAGGCCTGAAGAGCCGCATGCGGCTCCGGAGCCGCGGATTGACGACCCCCGCACTAAACTGTACCGACTCAACTCGACTAGACTCTACTCACGTTTTTTGGTTTTCCATTGGGCAAAAGTTGTGGTTAGTAACTGGTACCTGGTATTTAACGCTGCCAAAGTTCCAAGTGAGCTGAGGCGATACCATACGGGGACATGAAAACACTGCAGACTGCTGGTCAGAGTGAATCATCAGTACTGCCATTCATAGAGCTGTGTTGCTAGCATGGCTGAACAGAAGTGAAACTGGTGTTGGAAAAGCACCAGCCAGAGCGGCCTTTAGACAGAAACCAGGTTATTTCCATGTCTTCCTGTATCACCCTGTCTTTCATTTTCATCTGCTCCTCTCCTTGTGCTCAGCAAATTGAGTTTCCTCTCGAGCAGACAGCAGTTCCATTATCTCCTCCACCTCCTGCAGCTTGTGTTGGCCTCCCACTCTCCTCCTCCCATACCTTCCCTCCATCTCCATGTCTTCCCTCACTTAAGTCTTAATTCATTTAACTTGTGTGTGTATGTCTGTACGTGTGTGTTTGTGTGTGGGCAAGGACCGAGCGTTAAGATGCAGTGATCAATACAGCAGATCTCTCTCTCCTCTCATGTCCTTGTCTCATGTCTGGCATTGTCTGGGACATGTCATCAAGCATGTTCACGGCGCATGTGCGCGCGCGCGCACGACACACACACACACACACACACACACACACACACACACACACACACACACACACACACACACTAACACACACTAACACACACACAAACACACAAACACTCTCTTTCTGTATGGATACAGTTTACCGTAAGTGTGACTCAGCCTCTCTGACTGGAATACATAACAAGGAACTGCAGCGCGTACGCACACACACACACAACTTGAAGAATACAGACAACCTGTCATCTCTGTCATCTTGTGTGAGGGTGGAGTGAGACAGAGAGGACGAATGGAGAGAATAAAGAGTTAAAAGGAAGGGAGGGACGGAGAGAAACAGCAGCATTAATGGAGAAGGACATTGTGAGAAGCAATGAAAAGATGTATAAGGGTTAACAGTTTTATTTAATTACACATCAATAAATCCCGTAAGGCAATTAGGCCCATTAAGCTTATGAATTCTGCACACACTGGTGCCTTTATTCTCCTTGTACAACACACACTGTCGCACACACACCGTCGCACTTTTGTCCTTATTCATTTCCTAATGCCTAACCTGAACCTGAGCTCTGTGTAACAGTACCTAACTCACATTCATCATCTTTACCATAGAGCCTGAACTACTTTAATGTAAAGGTTAATCCTGATCTAATTTAAGATATGCGCAACTAAATAAATCTTTAAACTTTTTATTAGCAATTAGCAATTCAAGTATGAAAACTGTCTGTATTTTGGCCTGAGGATTCAGCCAGCGAGACAGCAACCGTGTATCACGATACAGCCTAGATCAATGGTTCCCAACCTAAAGGGCAATGAAGGTATTCCAAGAAGGCCGCCAAATCATTTACGAAGCAGCACAATTTTGGT